ATAATATAATCTAATATAATAAAGCTAATATCTTAGCTCAGCGGAAACGAACAAACTTAACTTTGATAGAAAAATAAATGAGGACAATAATAGCATGGGCAAGGGGTTAAACCTTCGACGCCTTGAGAACCTGCTTATATTCAAGTGAAGTCAGCTATCGTCAATAGCTATTCTAACCAGTTTAATATTAGTTTCAATAGCTAAATGATTCGCGCTGAAAGCCAAAAAAACGAATTATTCGCTTACGGGAATGCCTTGTGGTAGAGATTCGATCCCCTGTTCGCGACATTTCGCTCGCCAAAGTATGTTGTCCTCGGCTAGAACCCGCCATGCATGACAGGTCTGTGCGGCCCGTAGAAGGTCCCGAGGCTCCAGAAACCCTAAAACGTGCAACGCTAACTCTCGTGGTAACAGAGAGATAAAATCACGTTGAAACTGTGGCTCAATCACACGCATGACGTGACGAACCTGTGACGCGGTGCAAGATGCCATGAGGCAATCCAGGGCGTTTAACCGTTCGCCGTGGGACCTGTGAATATTGCATAGAAATTTTAGAAAAAAAGCATAATACGAGCATTTAGCCGAACGGTTACTACCATGAGTGTGTGAATTCTGGGCTACTATCGGATCTTGCCTCATTTGTTATTATTCTTGCCACAAACCCCAACCGGCTTCAGGACAGCTTTCTAGAATCTTATTAAAGCAAGTTATTGCATAAACATGTAAACATGTTTGAAATGTATTGCATTTGGCCACTGCCCTTCAATTAGCGCACGAAGCAAGCCAGTAAGGGCAGAACATCCTTATCGACCCCGTGCTAATTTGCTTTATTAAGATAAACTGATAACATTTCTTTATACAAAGTCTTTACAGTAGTTATCATTTGCATCGAGATTCTTGAATAATTGTACGTCTTTCTTTTTATCTGACATCTCCTGCTGCAGGTGGTTCACTTCAAGTCATTGAGTTATTTCAACCCTAGCCGATACTTCCCGCGGCTGCTTAGCAATGAGATAGACTGATGCTACTTATTATTATCGTTGCAACTTACAGAGCAGGCAAATGTCACATGTTTGATTTTTTTTCTCGCCCATTTACACCTACAGACTATAAATGTGTTAATTTCACATCGTAGCGACGACATAACGGCACTACTTGTCGCATGGGCTGTTTTCGTGTGCGAAGTCTTCGTCTGTCTTGCACATTTGTATCAAGATTTTCCCAAGAAAAACATCCTGGAATGGTTTCAGCTTTACTGATCGCATTCTCCGTGCTCCATTGACTAGCTGAAACGCAACATGTTCACATATGTCACCAAATCGCTGCCCACGAACGCTTAACATATTTCGCAGAGGAATTATTCGTTGTTTCAATCCAAGAACCACTCTTCTCGAAACCGCCATGCCACATTGGCGCATTTCTCGTAACTGATCGTAATGCACCAGATACGCTAATAGAATTAAAGATCGCATATGGACGCTAGCTAGTTTTTCAATTAGAGGTCGTGCAAGATTCAGTTGTTAAGCCCCTCCGCCCCTTACACCTACTTAGAATGCCAGAAGGCATCAAGCGCAAGTGTACTTTTGTGGTAATGTGTAGATCTAAATCTATTGAAGAGATCGTCTAGGTTCAAGGCGGAGCTCCGTAGGTGTATTTCGTCTTTATCGGTGAGAACCAATTGAGCCCATGATACAATGCTTAACTACGTCAGACGTTAACGATTTTTTGAACAGACACAATGCATATGTTTTTAGTAGTTTTATTCCTACTGGAATTCAAACAAATCTTAAAACATCCTTTCTCAATCGCATACGCGTTTCAAGCGTGTAAAAAGCTAACATTTGCTCTGATTTCAGGATAGGGACCGCAAAACCAGCGAAGCCTCTAGAGGTGCGTATGGCACCAGCTTCGCTAGGAACAATCTAGGTTTATCTCCGCTGACTGAATCAGCTACCTGCTCGCTGCAAATAGGAATTAGCACGCGGTGACGACAAGACATTTGTCTTGGCCTGCAGTACCTCAGGGTATGTCGAACGGTGCTAGCCATTTCCACAGCGGGATGATTTACCGGATGATTGGTTGTCTATGACATCTTTTCTGGTTATTTTACTGCGCTCGGAACAATCTCAATCGCTTGACCCGCCACGGTCGTAAGGCAGACACTGCGCCTGCTTCTGAAAACTGAAAAAAGTTGAGCCTTGCAGCTACTGACATCTCAAACGAGACTTGTAACTGCGACAGTCTCGATAAACATACATCTTTATCTCAATACAAATTAGAGACTTCTTGCTTTACTTCCTACACTGGTACTATAGGTGTTTCATTGCGGTTACCGCATTCGAATGACGAAGCAATGTGGTATTAATCGCCAGCACCTTACGATACCCCCGCATGGCGCTTTGGCTCTCTTGTGTTAACTGCTTTTCGTTTTGTAACAACTACTGGCCATGCATATCGGCTGACACCTTTAGGGGTCGCGCGACAAACGCAAAGAGACAAATCCTGAGGTAAGCGATACCTTATAATAAAGCCATAATTGTTTGTAGGTGGGGACGCTCGTTACCTCATGGACATTATGGCTCACAAAACGAGCATAGACGTAGCAAACTGCTTTTTTTCTTGTCTGCTGTTACTCACCATGCCCTTAACATAACCAACAAATAGCCTTTAAAGGATATTTTAACCTCTTTAATGTTGCCTAACCATGACACGTGGCTGCTTAAATGTAACTTTCTTAAATGTATGTTTCATTTGTAGGTGCTGTCCACGTTTTAGACGGCAACACGTTCATAAAAAGCATCCGCTAAAGCGTGTACTGCTTAAACTATCGTTCAGACGTACGTTTCATGCCACACGTTTTACTCGTATCAGCCTAAAACAACTGAAACCTGGCAAAAAAAACAACGAAAATTATGAAAACGAGGTCCAAGCTATTTCAATATGAATATATGCGGCAGTATATACATTAGCTTGGTTCTTTGCTCACGAAAAAGGGGATGAACAAATAACCCAATTAAGTATGCCTTCAAATAAATATGCTTTTTTTCGTGTTAAGTAGAAATTCCACGAAATACTTCTGAAGAAAACAGGCAAACACCTCGTCCAAATCACAGCGCAACTTAGCTAATACGCAATCATCTTTTTTCTTTTTACTACTGTTGTTTTCTAGGCATTTTTAACGCGTTTTAAGGCAATTTAACGCGTGCCTATCTATTGCCATGCAATAGGCTTTGTTGCACGTCTTTGCATTGGCAAAATATGATCTTTCGATATCCGTGGATACGTTGGAAATATAAGGCCCTGTTAAAGGCATTTCGAATCAATATTCGGCTAGCACGTCAACAGGATACAAAAGGACTGCCCAGTTTCCCTGCACAAATTTAATTTCGAAAGATACTTAGCCATAAGGTACTTTACTTAGCCAAAAGCACATTACATCCGGAAATCGAAGGCTTCTGGCAGGCTATAAGTTTGTGCAGATTCGCCCGTAAATAAAATATGGCTGTATCTTCTTCACGGATGCTATAAAATATATACAAAATCTGCTACGAAGTACACATAAGCATAGCAAGTTTACTTACCAGGAATCAAATTGATTCAACCATGTTTCGAGTTCGCGTCCTCTCACAACACAGACTTTCTTGCTGGCTGGTGGATGAGCCTGTTGAATGGCGAGATTGTCGCTTTTTCTTTTTGGCGGGGGAAGAATTGTGCCATTTGAGCTATCGTCAGCTGACCCCTGTGACAAACAAATCAGTATTAAGCACAAAAATCGGGATTGTGTTCTATGTACTAACAACTGATTAGATACGAGCTCGTGTCAAATAAGGGACTCAGCAACGAATTCTCAAAAATTTAGACAACACCTACATACAAAGTGAGGGCCAATGAAATGTAATCAGGAACCAAACTATACTATTGTAGACAAATCCTTATGCTAGTTTTTATCGAGTATAGAATATACTTAAAGATAGAAATTCTATGCTTGCTACGATTTAGTTGCATTTATTTAAAACTAGCATACTTACTGATTGATAGTAGAACGGATGCGACTTCGGTATAAAACAAGTTAACGATTTCCAATTCCATCAGCTAAAAAGTTAAACCCCTGCATATTATATATATATATGCAATTTTTGCATATTTCAATAGTATTATGTTGTATCTCTCAACAAACTGCCCTTTCGAAACTTAAAATGCCCTTTTTACATTTTATCTTCTACAGTGACAGTAATAATTCTCACGTGGTTTTTCAACTTCTTTCGAAACTTTTAATTACAATTTGTGGCGCGCACTCAGTTACCCCCTGTTTCCATGGTATTCGATAAAATGCTCGTTGGTCGTTTACTATAGGATATATAATAATATAGAATAAAATACTAGTACTCTATCGCTGTAACAGAGGGAAGGTCTATTTGACATTTGCGAAAATCTCCTACTGCCTAGAAACCTTCTGTTTGGATATTTAGGTCACTTGTATCTGTCAGCATTGTTTACCTGCTGCTGCACGGGCTGCAGCGGTGACAGTTCTGTACTGTTGCTAATCGTGTGGTTACTATTTGCACTACTAGTAATCGTACTACGACACGTATAGACGTGGGCTGTGCCGGAGTTTGAGAACGCCGCTGCTCCTCCGCCCGAGGGCAAATTTGACGATAGACATGAGGGCGATGACAGTGATGTAGATGGCTTGTTGCTCGAGCTGTCTGCATCTTCCATTGCTGCCGTTGTTGATGGAAGCCTGTGATTTTTGTGTTGCGATGCTGTTTGAATATGATCGCCGGGTACCGAACGGTCTTCACGTTGAGAGTCATCATCGCTGGCTATCCGGGAGGTAAGCAGCCGATCCACAGAGGATGCTAACGAGGTGACCTCGTCACCATCAGGACTACTGCACAAGCCGGGATGAAGAAAGAGCGAGGCATAACCCCCCGCCGCCACGAAGAGACACCAGCACGAACAATACAAAAACCCACCAGAAACGACAGAACAAGAAAATAACGAACAAATGACAACCAACTAAAGTAAAACAGAATTTTTGTCAATCGGTACAAACCTTCAGGCGATCCTTCAAAGACGCTCGACACTTGGCTTTTGTATTTCCAGTAGAGCTACTAGATTCCCCATTCATGTTGCTATGAATTAACTTTGCGAAATACCTTTGTATAGGATACAGGTTCGGCTGTATGTATTAAGGGCACCAGGTCACTAGCGCAAGATTGCACTAAGTACAGTGGTAGAACTCTATGCATAGCATACTTAAGAATATTAGTAAGCTCATCGTGTCAACGGAGGAAGCTGGGTGTCTACAATAGTATAGTCGGAGCTCTACCCTAAAACACAGTAACCCCGCATGAAATGTCCCCTTCGATCAACTTCGTTGTTTCGTGATAACCGCTATGACTTCAAATCATCTATTAACATTTATTACCTCTCATGTTGTGCATTGGGACCCTAGGACTGTTGTTCACCGTTTGTATGGGGTCGTTGACAAGTGGCGCGGAAGTACTTGTCGCATTTGTGTATCAAAAACTACCAAAATCTTCTGTCCTGGATACCCCTTCTATACTTAGACGTCTTTCGTAGAAGAACTTTTCTCAGTTTAAGCGCTTAATGATCTTAACGTTACGCAAGAAATTTCGCTACTCTTTCAAAACTGTCTCGCGTGTGCAGTGTAAGCCAAAAAATATCACGGATCGAGAAATTAATGTTGAACCATCAACGTCTTATGTGTCGTAAGGACAATGTTTATTAGGAAACAGGTATATACGTATATTGATGAAGCTCGTCTAAGACGCCGTATTTCTGTGACATATAGGTAGCAATTGCGAACTGTCAGTGGCTGAACAGGAGAATCTGTGAAAATGGTGTCAACACCTAACTTTCATTGGCTCAGCTGTGTCCATGGAAACGAAGCCTGAACGGCGCAAACATATCTACGTTCTATGTGCTAATTGATCAGACTCTTCTTAATACATATCGGTAAATCAGGCTAGGTTACGTTGGGTCCAGACGATGGCCACCGTAAGAGCGCTTAAATGGGTAGGCAATCACGTACTTGCCCTTCAAGAGATCACCCTGGCCTCGTGTCCCGTGAGAAATTGGCGGACTGGTATTCGCAGACCCGAGAAGGGCCAAGGCTGACTCGGATGAACAGGGTCGCGTTGAGAGCGCTGAAACAGCCGGAGTCCTGCATATGAGATGAGCTCGGTTGACTTCAATGAAATCTTCTGTAATACCGGTGACACTAATCAGATCTTCCAACCTGTGTAGAAGACAGAACGAAGTCAGATGACCAATGAAAGACGATTGGTTTAGTTAAATCGAATAAATAAGGAGGGTAGAGCTGCAATGCACGCGAATTTTTGCTCTTTGTTACAACGCTACCACCCCTCAACACCTAGGTTTCCGCAGAGTGTTGCACCTGATGGTGTGGAACTTAGCCGAGCTTTGTTTGTATTATACAAATCAATGGCCGAAAGCTACGAGTTCCAAGAATAACTATTCAATATTCTGTGGGTTGATTAATTTTTTCAAAGTTATCCATCTGCCAAATTCTGGTCTACTTTCAACAGTCGTTGCATTCACGTGTTCGTAAATCGTACAAGCATATAACATATGTATGAACAGTTTTTTTCTTTGGAATTGTTCTACAAATATTATACCGTATGCAGTCAAATCGTTAATCAACCACATCAAATAAACGTATACGAGGCATGTATTTTTACCTTCGAAACGACTGCTGCTTTACCGTCCGCGCTCGTACGATAGCTTCGGCCAATTCGCGGCCAACAGTTGTTAACGAAGAGAGCTCCTCGACCCGAGCGCTGTTAATATCCATCGCAAGCAGTTGCCAGAAGACAGGCCCTCTTGCTCAGGTTCAGGATTACCGATAAAGTCCTCGGAAGCCTCCGTCTCGGTCACGGCTGTTAGCGGAGCTCTGCTGCAGATATTTGGCGTTAATGTATACTTCCAACGGCGACCATAAGAAGTCTACTGAAAAAGATAGCGGGAGCGACCGTTCGTCGTTGCGATTTCCTTCAAGATTTTTGGCTGGGCCGATGTGAGTTTCATTGCTACCTCGGTGTTGTGCGTGGTGAATACCTTGTACAGCAACGTGTTGTAATGTCATCGAGTGTAGCGACGCCCTAGGTCGCTTATGGACCCTGCTTCGCCCTCCGATTTAGTTAGCGCATCCCTGAAAAACATCGAAGTACAATAATCATCTACTTCACGATAAAATTCTCAGGCACGAGACCACACCAATTCGCATGTGCCCAACTTGGTTTCAAGCTGCCTAGTTCGTCCCGCGGGCGAAGAGGATCGATTATAGTGGAGGAATGATAAGTACTTCAAAAGGTATAGCATGTTGTTGTAAGAACTAGTGTATATGCGCCCAACGGGTCATGTTCTTGCGTATTTTTCTATTCTATACACACACAACCACACGTGATCTCGAAGTGATCTACGCAAGTACCACGAAAAATGTTCGGAGACGTAGCATTTTTCCTCTGAATGCCGCCACTACTGAGTTCGATAGGACCCCAGTTGGCATTCGATCGATTCGGCTAAACCCAATTTTTATGAAGGGTAAAATAGGCAGAAGATTACCGATAGCTGATGCTTCTACTCTAGATTTGCAAAGGCAAGCTGGCCTATTCCTGTCCGCTTGATAGAAACTTTTTTTCAGTTGATAATGAAAAAAGTATTTTCGTTTATATCGATATGTTTTTTGTACCTGTCGAATCCTGTGAACCATAAAGAAGCCAAATTAGAATGGGGTTGGCACTGGTCAGAGCTATCAGTCAGCCTAACCGCCTTAATGCCACAGGTCAAAGCCACCATTGATAAGTTGTTCACATATCGTTCAAGGTTCATAAAAGCAAAACCCCCGACATAACAAAAAAACCCACACAGTGATTATACTTAAATGTTCGTATCTACTGAACAAACAAAACGTACCAACATAAACAGCCCACACAATCAATGTTCGGTTTACGCACGGTCTACAGTTAGTCATTCTGGTAACTAGCCGTCTTCTCTAACAGCAATCTTATCGTAGTAAAGTCTAGGACAGATACTCCAATTGCGGATAGATCTCTCACGCGCCAACAACGCTGTCATGGTAACAGATAAACTCTATGAATGTCCTCGAAACACGCCTCTACGCAGCATTAGCCCTGTTTCGTAAGCGTGTTCACTCAACGGGCCCGATGCGTCCGTAACCGCCCATGTATGTATGGTGTGTCTGTTCGCGATACATGATGAGCACCAAGATATTCACCGGAGAGGGAGTCCGAGCTAAAGCTATGTAATGACCTACTTCGATTGGCAGAACCCCGACAATGTAGTAGTCATTCACACGGCTATGAAAACTTCGCACCATTTATGCAAATATTCACAGTCGATATTGAATTATGTTCAGCCGAAATTTACGCAGCCAGTTTTACGGTGCAGTATTTTTGTGGGTTTCGTTGAGGCTGCCCTTGGTCAATGCGATGACCCAATACTGTGTGGTATAATATTATATCAAGTAAATAGGAATTCTCGTCCATAATAGGTGGTAAGGCTGAACATTTTGCCCGAATTTGATTTGTCACACATCATTCAAATCTATTTTAACCAATTTAAGCGATTAATGCTTATGGTAGTCGACCGCAGACAAAACTTCATCGTCACACGCCAGAACATGTCAAAACAAAATCACCATTATTTCACCATGCATTCCAACCGCAAGGAAGAAGCATCCCTAACTGCTGATTACACGTCCATGAGACTATCTCGGGTTTGATCCGTTGTAGTGAAAACAGTCGAGCTACGCATAGAGGAAAAAATTTCTTGCAAACCGTTACCTATTTGACCACCATCGTTGCTATCAACTTCAATCTGATTTTTTAAAATTCGATCGAATCCCCGCTCATTCGCGACTGTTGTTCCTCAGCCATCCATGGACGCTCAATACCTGCTGTTGCTAGTTCCTTTCGTTAGTTAATTCATAGCCGTTATCTATCTGGATACTCGCGAGTACCCCGATGAGTTCACAGCTACTGGAAAAGTACGAAGCGACAAGGACATTACATTCTAAAGCAAAGTATTCATTCTAGCTTATTAAGCTTTTGTCCTTTCCATGCAGACGCTAAGTGAAAAAGCAATGGGAGCAACCTCTTATATTTTGCTGTGACACACTTTTTCCGCTCTTCGAAAAAGTATCGCAAAGACTTTCGTGTAGGACTATTTTTTCCCCGACGGGAGAAAAGGAACGACTTCTTTAACACATATCGCTAATCACTTCTGCAGCAACATAACTAAGCTGACGAATTATCTTCGTTGGCCTAGAGAAGGGAAAAACCGAAGAACGCGGACCCGCCAGTCCAGCTCACGGAACGGGCTGAGTAGGCTACACTCACACACGCTAGCTCCTACAAGAGCTCACAGGCCATAGTCAAAAAGGCGCGATCTCTCCGTTGATCTTTCGCATGTGGTGCCATGTCACCGAGCGCGTTCGCCCAGGCCGTCGTATCGGGCCCTCAAACGATTTACTTCGTCCTTTCCTCGGACACACAGTTTTATCTCTGTTTTGTTGCTGTCCACAGTTGCTGGGCAGCGGAGTGATACAGGTGCTCCGCTCCAGCTCATGGGCAGCGGCCTGGGGCACTTTGAGCACAGCGCCTCTATGAAAGCGGATCAAAACGGGCGGTACGGACGACAACACCACCTTGCCTGTATTAATAGTTTGGGACTTTTTCGTTTTGTTGTTCATCTGCCACAGATATATTACCGCCCTGCACTAGTTGTTAGTGTTGTAGTTACAGCCAATGCTTCTGCCACAGCCAGCTGGAGCTTCATCCAAGTAAAGCTTTTGCGAAGTATCGAATTCGCGCGGCTGCGTTGTTTCATGCTGGTTGACACCTGGTTGCGGCGCCATGGCGAGTGAACTAGACAGCGCGAACCGAGATGCACCAATGGACTGCCACTGGACAACTATAAAGTATAAAGACAATTAAAGGGCAAGGTAATCGGAGATCAGGTGTGTTGAAGCGGTTCAAAACGAACGGTATAAAGGCTACTAAATTGACTTTGTTGTTAGGAGGGCAAGAGGTGAATATTTAACCACAGACCGAAGCTCAGGTCTAAGTCCTCATGTATCACGGTTGAGGTAACTGGTATAAGTATGGGACTGATTATAGCGGGGCTAAAAGCAACAACGATAGTGATTCGAGCGAGTATTTTGTCATGCTATCAAGTTATTAGTAGGGCGAACAAGCGTATGCGCAGGTAAAGTGCGTAGGGTAATGCTGATTAAAATTTGATGACGGTGACGCTTCCTCGAGGGCAAATCTTTGGCAATGAGGAACCGATAAAAGTATCGATTACCTATACCTTATTGCATACCACCTATAACCTACTACAAACCTAATGATGGCTGACAAAAACATCAAGCTCACTCTGTGACTAATTGATCTACTAAAAAGCTATATGAGGTATGTTTTTTGATCATAGGATTTCCGTAGGATCTCAAGCGATATTTTGTTTCAAGTAGATCTTCAAGCTTGTCTTTACCTTGCCAGGTAATGTAATTTCCACGTGTAGACTTAAGAGTTGATTTATGATGTTTGTCAATAACCGCTACGTCGATACAACAAAACGTCGGAAATAATCTTATATTACTCAAGCTATCTCACTAAATGAAAATGTATTCACGACAGTTCTACTAGCTCGTGCTTACATCTGGAGCCCTTTCAAACACACGCAGGAGAGCTGCCACGTTCACTGTGGCTTATATCGCCAACTGATCATATTCAACACAATATAAATGTTTTAAACGCTCGCTGAGTGCCGCATGTCGTTCCCGTACGCTATATTTAGACATCACGTACATGAATTATGACGATGCTTAATGAATGAATGCCATTTGTTAATTCTTTTGGGCGATACGCTAGAACAGCTAGCCAATTGCTAAATCCTCCGCGATGATCAAATTGTTATACCGGCCATTTCTTATAATATTTCGAAATACTGCCATGCGTATGCTACTTCGCAACCATCAAGCAAATTTATATACAAACGAACGAATGTAAAATTTCATGGACTAACGTCCCCTAGCACGACAACGCAGAAATGTAAAAAATCCTCACACTGTAGAACTACTATAATCGTCTCTAATATATCGTCTGCGAAATCTTTCCTTCCTTGTTGAAAATGTGTTTCTTACGACAAAAGATACCAGTGCTTCTTAATTGCTGCACGATATAGAAAAATATGCTAACCCTTGTGCTGATTTTTAGCAACGTCCAGACAAATGCTTAGCCCTTGTTCACCATTGACATCAGGCTTTATGTGTATGAAGAAGTTAACCCACTGCAGTACGAAACTGCATGTCATAAACTTAACTTGCTGATAAACTCATGGTATGCGCTTGTGAAGCGACTTGCTCTCAAAGATTTTTCATTTTTAACTATACGCGGTCATTTAGAACCTTTCGTTCTAGAATTCCGCTAGCCACTACTAGCGGTGGTATTTACTCTTCGATATAGCGAATGACTCGGACATCCGCAGTACAAAAGAACCACAGTCATTTTGCAAAGCCAACCAACCTTGTCGTATTGTTCATTCGATTAAATTGTCCAATGAAATTTCTAATCGGGAAGGTTTAGGAGCCACGAAAAGCAAATTGTCGACAATTTGGCTAGAATTTCTTCAGTATTAAACATCTTGCATGCCAATTAGTATTGTCTATCGTTTACCTAAACATGAAATAGTTTTCACTACCACTTCTAACATTTGGTGCAAGCGTCACAGCAATTTAGTTATTGCTGCCAATTAAAAACAATAATGACGACTAGGACAATGACCGGCCACCCACGAAAGAAACAGCTGCTTCGAGTCTCACGTCCTTGAAGCAGAATGTTTATTCTGTCTTCGCGCTTTAGCCTGACAGGCCAACACCCCGAAAAAGGCGTACGGTTGTCCGATGACACACCAGGCACCAGATCGCTACAAAGATTCAACAAAATCACTTGGCAAGACCATACATACATGTATACTAGTTAAAGTGAAACTTTGGCAGTTTCCTACACGCCAAGCAGATTCAGTCCGGTGCTGACCCTGTTGCGTCGAATAAGGCAGTCGGTTATTGTTTTTCGGTGGACGTTTCCTGTTATGCCACAGTCCCGTCGAACCGAACTGCAGCTCAAAATA